TGAGGCCCTTCTTTTAGGTTAAAATGATCTATCTTAAATTTGTCTTTCTTGAGTTTGGGACTGTTATGTGTTTAAATAACTTAAAAGGAAAAACTAAATAAACCCTAAAAACCGCAAAATATTTTTGTGTTTTTAATTCTAATTTCGTCGGAATTGATGAAAACTCCCTAAAATGTGCAATTTATAGAGGAAATTGGCCTACCGTAACAAGAAATGACCTATATCATTATAGCTAGTCTAGGCCCAGAGTAGGATAGGCTAGCGCGACATGCGGACGTTGGTAAGTGTTGGTTAGTCTACAAACGTCGCCTAAAGTAATTGATTTTAGCCGGCAGAACGAAAGAAGGAAACTCTGCTTTTCAGTCGTCTTAGGCCCTTGTCTTTTGACAAACAATGACTTTCAGAGGTCAAATTTCTGTCGAGAATATGAATTGGCTGCTTCGCAGCAATTAAACGTTTAGGCCTATATTAACAGAATTTACATTTTTGAAATAGGTTTAAAGTAGCTTCATCTATGTTACAAAATAAGAAAAAAATATGCATGAACAACTTTCGCCACCAAATTATAAAATTAAGCAAGGCAGACAAACTAAAAATACACCGACCCCCGCATTGTTGGGTTTTTTAGTGTGCACTTTCAAAATCACTCTCCCGGTATTCCGTTGCAGCCAGAGTTCTAGTTTTCTAGTTTATTTTCTTCTACATCATAATTTTCTTTGAATGATTTCATGTATATTTGACTTCATATATTCATAGTTACCAAATGCGTGACTAAACCAGCTGGCTGGGGAGGGGGCGTGGGCGTGGCCACCGCAGGGGTCCAGGGGTGATACCCCGGTGACGGTCAAGTTTTGAGTCATAATCAACGGTTGGTTCTGTCAATGAACGCGCAAAGACCGCATGCGCCTCCCGATTCTAATTAGTGCCTTGGCTGAGTTATTTTGGTCAAAAAATAGAAATATTCTCAGTAAATTGATTCTCCAACGAGATAACGAAAGCTCTCTAATGACTCAAAATACTGCATGACCGTATTTATATTTTTTAATGAAAAAAATTTCTTCTAATTTTAAAAACATTTTCCCCCGGAATTTGTAATAATTCGTTATCACGCATAGACTTGTGCTAAATGCGTGACAAATTTATGATCACGCATGTGTTTCTGCAAAATGCTTGTTTCATCCAAAATCATTTTGAAATGCGGGACCGTAGTGCACGAAGCGAGACGGTAGGTAACTATTATGTATATTTTTGTACTGGTATTTACATGAAATGAGAAAAAGTATGTCCTGTTTTACAGATTTAAGTCTAGTTCTTACTCTTGTTTCTTTTTTCTTAATTTTCAGGAATAGACCTAACTGAAATTGTAGGCATATGTGTGTCCTTTGTTATCCTCATCACCATAATAATAATAGGCCTATTATTATTATACCGAAATCATTTCGTAACTCAAGTCCGTGAGCCCAGCAGTCCCCAAAATCATCACGCTGTAGATTACATGCCGCAGTGGGTAGTACTATATTCAACAAGCGTAGACATGTCGTTCGGTTCGCCAAGAACAGACCTACCTGGTCCAGGGTTTACAAATCCGTCAACCGTTCCTGCAGGTGTTGTTGAGGCAATGTCACCATCAATACAACCATTGCCTGACGTACCTCCACCTCCACCACCTACATCAGAGGAAAGACTACCTGAACTACATGAGTTAGAGAATTTCGGGGGATATGATGAGCCGCCTCCTCCTTACACTGGAAGAGGAACTCCGGCGCCGCCGTCAACTTCCGATATTGAAAGCCCACCCAGTTATGAATTATCAATTTGAAATTGACAGTAGACATAATTTTCTACCACCAAAAAAAGAAGACGTATGGGGGGGGGGGCGATATCCCTGACGAAAGAAGTGGACGTTGGTGGTAGTCGCTCAAAATCTCTCGAAAGAGTTCCGTGAGGGCGAAGCGCAAGAAAAATATGACAATTTTGGGGTTTCAAAGGCTTATTTAATCGATTTCAGAGCCTACTAATAATGTATAAAAAAACATATACATTTTTTTTCTCCCCGACGAATAGTGGTACGTTCTTTGATGTTTGGAGATGTGCGGGGACCGGTCAGGTCAAATCATTATGAGATCGTTGTAGATATTTGGGAGATCATGAGAGAGCTCCTCAAACCCCTAAGGAATATAGGAGCTACCTATGTTGTTTATCATTTTGAATGTCCAGGTTGTGACTATATTAGTAAGACAGATAGATGCTTAATAACTGGACTTAAAGAACATTCTTCAGGATCTGATTGTATAAATTATCATATTCGAAATTGTGTGGTATTCTAATATGTTTTAGGTGTACAAGGTATACTTGAAAATGATAATGTAGCCTGTAATGTAAGTAATAAATTAAGTTTAATATTTTCTAATACTAACATTATTGACAGTTCGCAAAATTGGTCTATTATTGGCGGTTATTCGTGGCCGGGCGGTTTCCGAAGCGGTTTCTTGTGTTAGTTGAGCTTTTAACAACACAATTAGGCCAATTTTGCATTGTATTAATCGTATATTACCGTACATATCTGACATTTGTTTCCTTTCAAGAGATAATTATGGTTGTTAGTTTTTAAGTTTACGTTGTATGTAAGTATGTGTACGTGTACGAACAAAATAATTTTAAATGTGCATTATGATTTTCTGTATCAATTTGAAATCGTGTAGGATTCTGTATGTTCTAATTTCTCAGAAATTATAGAACATTATGATATAGGGTTACCAGAGAAGAGAATACGTTATTTCTAAAGGCCAACTCAGACAGCGTCGGCCGACGCAGCCCGACTCGATTTATCGTCGGGGACAGTCTTAAGCCTTCGTGAGAAATATTAAACACGTTTAATATTCTACTACACGACTGCCCACGACGCACACCATCGCGTCTGCGTTCAACTCACACAGACCCGACGTGACAACAAATCGCGTCGGGCTGCGTCGGCCGACGCTGTCTGAGTTGGCCTTAATTCACTGTTGTTTTGCTTTTCAATCTATATGCACAATATTTATACACTTTTTTTGTAACTTAGTTAACATACAAATTTTATATTTGTTGATAATATGTAGATAGGTCGATACAAATATGAATTAAATGACAAGTTAAGTAAGTTTATGATACAGTGTCTAAAGACCAACTCAGACAGCGTCGGCCGACGCAGCCCGACCCGATTTATCGTCGGGGACAGTCTTAA